TATATATATATATATAATTATATATAAAATCAAATACATTTGGAAAAACAATAATCCTAGAAACTACTGAATAGAAATATACACAGAAAAAGTAGAACAATTTTAAAAAAAGTAAGTAATGGTGATAAATGATTGGCCCCAAAAGAACATTTAAAGAGAACTTCAGGAATACAAGCAATTGGCCAACATTTGTATTAATACCTACATATTAGATACCATACATAAGCGATTGAGTGAAACAGTGAAAAACAACTGTATAGAAAAATACAACAAGTGAGACTGGAACTGGCCAACTGCTTGGCTGAACCTGCCTGTATTCCGAGTAATACACTACTTTTTTCTACTTTTGGTATTTTACAATGTAGTTTCATGATCATTTTTTCTTTTGCTAAACTGAACTTGCCTGTCTTCCCTTTATTCCCAAAAAAAAACGATGTTTTGAATAATATATTAATATTATGTACTATTTGTTCCTTACTTTTTCGATGTATATTATATAGTAGTTTATGGATAATTGTTTTTCCAGACATTTTATGTGACATGATATATATTTGACTTTTTATGTTATGTTTATGTTGATCTTGATGTTTCTGCTTCCTTTTCATCGAGGCTCTCCCTCATGTGGGAGCATCAGTTCAGCTCTGCTCTGATTGGGCCAACTTGAGAGTAGATTGACTCTCAATCATGCAGATCTCAATCACCTGAGTGCTCGTTGTGTTTGTGTCGGTACATTTCTTGCTCTGCTTTGTGAGGATCTGATAATGCCTGACGAAGATCTCTGTTAGATCTGATGTAACGGAGACATCAGAGTTGCTGGGAGCCTTTTAATACAGCGTGCAGATGTTTTGTTTGATTCTTGCCTCGGTTTGATCTTTTTGAATCAGCACCTGTTGACGTTTTTTGGATGTGCTTACCCCACACACACACACACACAAACTGAGCCTCTTTATTTCACTGAACTTTATTTTCCTTTTCCTTCACTTTGACGGCAGTATTGTCTTAAAAGACCTAACAATTTTCACAAATACAAGACGATGTTTTTCTCCTCAGAAATGCATTACTTGTATGTGTGACATCATGAATGTGTTTGGATGACTTTGGACAGAGAGGATACTGCACACGTGATGCTGCTCAGTGTTAACACTATTAATGTGTGTGTATGCGTGCCTACGTTTTAGTGCATGGGGATGATTGCTCGGATCATTGCATTTATGTGCAGCTATTGCAATCAGGTTGCAATGAGGATCAACATGATGTATGTCACGTGTAGAACTTGCATATTGAATACCTACCCCCAACACATTTCCACCCGAGAACAAATCACTGTTCACATTCTGAGAACAGTCGAAGCAAATAATTCTACTGAGGAGAAATGGGTATTGCCGTTGCAGATACAAAGTGTGAGCAGGACGTGGAAGCTTTAAATCGTTGAGTGATATTGATGCACAAGCAGGAGGTGGTGCAGCACACAGGCAATGAACAGTACGGCTTCAGTTCACGTACACAACTATGTTCAGGAGTCCAAATCACAGTTGTCCTACTAAAAAGTGGTAGAGGATCTCTCTGAGGTGTTTGAATGGATGTAAATAAACGAAATGGAAAATACATCTTTAGTCATTATCATGCAGTTGCATTCACTGCCATTGATACAGCAGTACAACAATCTGAACAGCAGTACAAACCGATACAACTAATACACACTGTGCTGCTGCATGTGCAAAGTTAAAGGGAAAATCCACACAAAATCAGAATTCAAGGTGCAGTTTTAAAACGGCTTTTAAACCAAGAAAGCTGTGATAATGACATCACATCACCATATTTGGGGATGTAAAATGTACTGAACTCAATGGACATCCCAGTCTCCAGAATGAAATGTTGCCATTGTCTGTTTTTAGTTACATGTTGAAGGTCGATATTCTGAACCACAAATACATTTCAAAAATATGTTTCATATTACTATATACTTGGTTAAGATTCGAAAAAAAGATCATGTTTTGTGTTAAAATAGTAACATATCAACGTAATGTAGCCACTGCCTTTCTTTCGTGACATTACGTAACAATGGTGAAGTTAACACATGGGATACCAACAGCAGTCTGCTGGGAGAAAGTCCTGTATCAGTTTGAAATACAATGCAGATGTTTGTTCCTGGTGACTGGGCTGCAATGAACTCATTCATCTTTGTTTGAGATATTACAGATGGGCAACAAAGAAACATTTGGATAAATGCCGGGAGAAACAAAAGCAGAGACTTGAATGTGAATTGAATCGTCCCTCCAGTCATTGGATCTCAACCCAACTGATCACCTATTGGAGATTTTGGAGCAAAGTGTTAAAGAGTGCTCTCCACTCAGGGCCGGGTTAACCTGCTAAAGGGACCCAGGGCAAAACTGATCTGTATGAGCATTAATGTATCACCCATCTGTGCATCCAAAACAGTTTGATTTGAAGGCAGGTCTTTCCAGTATGAGTGGCATAAATGTCCTCATAGCCTTGAAAAACGCTCTATGGTTGCTGTCAAGAGTCTCATGACCTGTTCAATTATTCACTGCCTATATGTCTCAAGATGACATCATCAGCACAGACTGTCTCTCTACTGTTCAAGTTCACACTATAAACTGAGCTGCACAAAGTTATAGAAATGACATAATTATGTCAATTCAACATTTGGAATGGATTTTCCCTTTAAGACCAAACAAAGCTTTTGTCCACCTGATACATCAAAGCCACTATTTCACAATATTTGATGGATCTGACATGCTGGTAAAATTCATGAGAATCATCAGAAAGGCATATGGCTCTAACAGTACACCAGTTACACCATCTTAAAATTACACATTTTCATTCTACACCAAATGCTAAGTTGATCCTTTACAGTCAGAATACATCCAATCTGCTCTAGTGTTCCTACTTCCACGACAAACTGAACGCACAAATACATATCTTAGTGATTGTCATCCTCATACACAATGACAAGACCCAGAGCCTTCAGCGAACCAACACATAATACATATACACAAACTCATACCACTTGTATCTGACTGTGTTACAGCATGCAAGCTTCAAACAATGTGTGCTTTCACTGGAGACAGCCGTTGTTTCAGTCAGTGCAAAGAGGCGAAGCTGGCACCTTCGTGGCCCCTGCGTTTGGAGCTTGGGCCTGTGTCCGGACACGTAGGGGAAACGGGGACTTCAAAAGAAGGGTTGGGAATATGCAAAGCCTCTCGTTTGCTTTTCTTTGGCCGAGTCTTGGCGTGGCGTGGTGGAGAGTTATCGCCTTGGGAGCTAGCAGTGTGGCGGGCCCCACAGCTCGTGGGGAGCTCCGGTGAAGGGTCAGAGTTCACCGCCGGGCCGCTGTCTGGGCAGGTATGAGCTGAGGGAGGTTTCCCCTGAGGACACGAGGTGGACAGGAGCGGAGGGATCGTGGCCGACTCCAGCAGACCTTTAGTTCCCTGTGTGCACTGGAGAGGCACGAGAAAGAGGAAGGGAAGAACAAAAAGACAAGAATTGATGAGACGAGTCAGTGAAGTAATCAGGGGGAACAGCAGGGCGTTAAAACAATGAACGCATCAACAGTTGCGCGAGACGAATCACAGGCAAGTTGGGAGTGCAAGCAGGCAACACGAGTGGTCCGAAGCAGGAGTTTGCAAATGTTTCATGCTATAGATCTGCACGTGGCTGCACATTGGACCTGGCGAATCCTATTTGATGGATGTTTAGCCCAAGGAACATTGTCCAGCAAGATAGAATGTGGTACAAAATTGTTGAAAAGATGACTCCAGCAAGTTAGTATTGCACTTTGATGAAGTGTGGGGCTCTGATTTGAACTGCACTGTTTATGTTGTTCGAGCCACCTGCCTCATATGCACCCAGTATGTAACTAAAGCTCTCTGTTCACAAGACAAGACTCCAGAGCTGGATTTATTCCTGCTGTAGGTTGATGTCACCTTTACAATGCTATAATGTGTTGTATATGAACACGGTGCCTCATGCTTTATATTCCTCACAGCAACTTTGTTTACATTCTTTCATTTACATTTGGAATTAGAGCGACTGTGATCTGCACACATAGAGCTTAATAATGTAATTAAAATTAAAAGGCCACAAAAGACACATAAATAGGATTCAATAGAATCTAAACAAAGTAAAACAGAAGATTATAATGAACTAAAATGAAATAAAACAGTGCAGCGACAGTGCAAGATATGAATAAATAGTCCAAAGTTTAAGTTAATAAAATACAGCAGCAACCAGAAAAGTCTTACGGTCTAATTCAAATGAACTGAGAGTAATGGTATCGCTTCTGGCCACTTGATGAATTCAAGTCAGCTATTTGTTGTCCTTTTCGCTTTATAAATGCTCCTTCATGTTCACTAGCTAGTGGCTAATTTTGTCTTACTGCTGTTTGGTGCTGGAGTGACAGTGTAGAATGGGTTTATCAGAGCTCTTTCACTGAAAACATCTGCCTTCTTCTGCTGCTGGAGACAACGCCGATATGAGAGCAGCAAGTAAAACAGTGAAGTTGTGGACCATAAAACCAAAACAGTGAGCCAAAAGTAACTAAAACACTTAAAGCTTTAATGCAAAGTGTGAATAATGGATAACCTTCAAGAGCATAAAGCCTTGGGGTTCATTTGTTATTCAAAACTAAAAACTGCCAGTTCACTATTCCCTGTGTAAAACATTTAAACTGCAGGTCAATCCATCCTCAAAGATGAGGAAACATTTGAACAACTCTCGTTTGTTTCCCTATATGGAGCTGCTCGCCCTTAACTTAAAACAATCATGTATCCATCGGATATTATAAGTACCGGTTTATCCCCCACATTTCATTGTACTAATCGGTTTTCTTCCATGACATCTTTCATGCACCTCTGAATGAGCTTCCTCCTGCAGCTAATATATCATTTTCATCTCCAAACTAAAGTAAAAAAGCAATACTAAAAACTTGCTTCAGCATGGCTTAGTTTTCCTCTCCAATCACGGCTCGAATGCTATAAAAAAAAGTCTTTATACCTTGACAGAATCAATTGAAAGTGTTAAATGATGCACTCTGAAATGTATTCAACATGGCAGCATATGGATGAAGCCATGCAGGAGTACAGCAGCGAGCAAACAGGACATGCAGACAGAGTGGTGGGCACAGGAGACTCTGCACTCGCTTTCCCTTTCTTTAAACAGGCTTACCAAGCTCAAGCATCACTTTTCCTGCACTAATGGTGGCTAATCAGCCCACGCAGAACACCGCAAAGTCCAGACATTTCACGTCCTTGTGTTGGTGGTGGGATACAGAGACAGACACAGAACAGCAAGTTAGGACCGATTGAATAGACACACAAACACTACGTGTGTTAGGAGCTTTTCTTCCCTCGGGAAATTCCTTCTGTACTCCAAATGTGCAAATTGGGAGGGTGGACAAACCGTACAATGAAAAATGAGTGACACAGATGATGAAATGCATGGACAAAAATGCATGTTTTTATTAATTTACATTTCAGATACTGACAATATAGAAATATGTATTAAAAGAAGATGGACAACTCAAACATGTAATACAAGCATGAAGGGAAACAATGTTGATCGGCTCGATGCGTGACAAATATGACTTAACATGAGACAGTAGAAAGTGAACAAACACAGAATACAAACGGGGAACGTTCTTCACAGCTTCACCGACGTATCAACTGAATTCAAAAGGCCTGTTTTACACACTCGCCAACAAAATGAATTTCGTTACTCTGGCGTAAACAAAAAGCCAAACAGCAGCTACTTTACCACTTGATATGAGTTCTGTGGCTCAGAGTGCAACTCTACCTGAACCACAGTTAACGTATTGTAAACAAAGGTTGCTGTACAACTCTCCAGGCATCCTTTAATATCCCTTACTCTCAGAGAGAGCAACGAGAGAGGACGAGCTGGAAACAGCATCCGAGTCTTCACTTCTTACACCTCCTGCTCTCCTCTCTCATAAAACACCCTGAGTCGACGAACACTGAGGTGTAGCTCGTGATGGAAAAAAGTGACAACAGTAGATGACATGAAACTACATATAGTGAAAAATGTCCGTAAACCTGATTTGTTCATTTCCATGATGTAAACAAGACTGAGCTGTGCAGAAGCATGAACTTCCCGGAGCAGCTGTCGTAACTCATCCGACTAACGAGGACAACAGTCAACCGCATTTCACAAAATCACAACTTAAAAGAATACCTCACATTTTTATGAAACAGGCTTATTTGCCCAGTGGCGCCGCTGTTAATAGTTAATAGGCTAGCTTTAACAGAAAGACACCAGGTTGATATTGATCTCACATTCTGAAAATAAAGCTAATTTGATTTTAAAAAATGATTCCTTCTAACCTGCTTTTCAACTTGATTAAAATGAATTGAAATTGTGCAAGTTAACTTATTTTAAAAGGTCTTGTTTGCACCGAGAAAAGTAAATACCAAAGCTCTGTCTTTAGTGCAAATAGAGAATATGTGGGGATTATCCCATACACAACAGTCAACAACAGGCAGCAGACGGATGCTGGGTTGGAGCTACGGTCGGCAACAAGGCTTCAAGTCAGGCAGAGGAAGAGTTTTGGTGGGAGTAGGGGGGTGCAGGCACAGGAGAGGGGGATCTCTGCAAGCCAAAAGCCAGCTGGGAAGATCCTCCTACCACGTTTTTAGTGGCCAGAGTGGGCAGCTCAATGTCCACACCCGCTGTCTGGACAGATTCATCCGCGGGCAGGAAACCTCGTCTGTCGATCAAGCTGAAAAGAAAAAAACAGAAACAATTATCTATCGATTCATTTTAAGCTTTACCAATTGAGGAAATTCTCTGTCAATTGAAATAATTCTCTGTCATGTACATTTTAAAACAGGGTCTCGTACTACACAATCAAATGTAAAGTGAAAGGAAAAATAAATAATTAAATCAATTGAGAGAAAAAAATTTAACAAAACCAAATGTGTGTCTAACCTGGGTGGCATGGGTCCACAGAGCACAGAGCAGCAGTTGATGAAGATGTTTTTATGACTGTATGGGTTGGTGACATCTTCTCCACTCTTCCCTGACCAGGAGCCTTTAATCTGGAACAGACAGGATATAAATGCGATATTAGTGAAATATCAATGTAATTAAATCAACTTCTCATTTACAAATATTCCCGAATTATCTTAACACTGTACCACAGGACACCAAAGTTACTATACTGTAATTGCAGTGCAACAAATTCAACTCCAGGCAGAACTCACATCTTCATTCGTGGTCAGGTTGGAAGCAACCAGGTATGTATGGAAGCCCGAGAGGCCCAAGATGGACCAGACTGAGAAGAAACATATCACCAGTTCCACTGCAGTGAAAGGTCGAGTCAAGGAGAGCATCAGTATTTTGGAAATAAATAAAACTCTGAAACACATTTGTGATTAAAGGATATCTGCCTGGACTCTCTTGCAGAGCAAACACCAGACCTTTTCCACCTTGAGCCCCTGAAAGAGAGGAAACAATAACACGGGCTCAACGTGTGTTTCTAAGGCCATTAAAGAGGAAAATGTGTGCAGTAGCCAAAACCAACAGATCACGACAAATCTGAAAACTAAAGAGCATTCTGTGTATTTTTCTTATCTGGCACCTAACCTGCTCTGATGTGGTAAACCCCGCCCGCCTGGCAGTCCAAGTGAGACAAAACAAACACTTACAGTTACTGGCAGGTGCTGTTTGAGAGCCAGGTGTGTTAGCAGTCACTATCAGTAACATCCTGACTGTTTTTCAACCATAAAAAAAAAAAAAAAAAGAAACCACCCGTGAACCAGAGCAAAAACACATACTCAGTGCTAGATGTGTGGTCACGCAGCCGAATATGAACGCCGTCAGGAAGGAGAGCGACACGATGAAGGTGTAGAAGAAACGGTAGTTGCGTTTTCCCACACAGTTCCCCACCCAGGGGCAATGGTGGTCGAATCGCTCTGAATGAGAAACGCACCAAAACAAGGATTCAGCACTGACATTTTGAAAAGTACGCCAATATGTCAATCAAGTCGGTCCAGCATGAACTGGAGTATTGGGATCGTGTTCACTGAGACCCTACGAGGCCTCCATTCATTATTCATCATGTGGAAATGTCAGAGCGCTGGTGTGTGTGTGTGTGTCCACAGCTCACCCACACAGTTGTCACACAGGCTACAGTGGGAGGTGCGCGGAGGCCGGAACATCTTGCAGGTGAAGCAGTACTTGAGCTTCACCACCTGCTGGTTGATGATGATTTCCTTGGTGCGCGGTGGAGGCCGATAGCTGGTGTTGCCAGTGTTGTCTGCAGAGAGGAACAACAAGATAAAATACATCAGACCTAAAACACCAACTGCTACCCAACCACGGCCAACACACACACACACACACACACACACACACACACACACACACACACAAAAGGTTTCTCCTTATGCTGCCCAATCGGACTTCTTCTAAGGACTGCATTGGCGTGGACAGTTAGTTTAGTTCAACTCTTTGAGGAGCAGGGTGAGACACACTCACTTCCAGGTGTGACCTTTTAATGTGTCAAAGGATACTTCATCATTAAATTGAACTGGCAAAAGAATGACTGCTGTTAATGAGACATTGCCTTGTGTTTTCTTTCGATATTAGTCAAAAGCAATTAAGGCAATCGTTGAGCGCTGACCCCCACTTATGACTTGAGTCGGTCCTTACCGATCTGTTTTTCGATGTCTGCCGCCTCATCTGGTGTCGCTCTGGGCAGGATGCCCGGGTCGGTGAGGCTGGTCTGGAGCAAAGTGATGACCACAAACACAAAGAGGCCTCCTCCAATAACAGGTATGCAGCTGGTCAGGTGTTTGACCAGGAAGGGACAGCTGTGATACAGAGACAGGTGGAGAGAGGGTGAACTACAATACATAGGGACCAAATCAAAAGGCTGGAGACGAAGCTCCACGTCGTATAACTTGGCCTGCTTTTTTTCATCCACCAGGGGATCTAGTTTTAATTAACATTCAGTGTCTTTAATCACCATCTGACATCCATGGAGACGGAACACACTTTTCACTACACTGCATAGAAATAATTCCCTATCATAGTACATATTGGTCTTATTAACAACTGAAAAGATTAATTAAAATGTTTGTGTATAACCGAAATAGAGGATTTTAAGGCCAAACAGGAATGTAAAATATTACCAGACGACATAATGAAATCGGACCTTTTTTTGGTATTTTTGGTTTTTTGGTTGGTAAATAAATTGCTCCCGTCAAACATTAATAAGGACATTTTATGAATCTACGGTTCGGCGCTGATCTAACACATCAGACGGGAGTCAATGCAGTAAAATGTTAATTGTAAAGAGCGAGTTTGCATCGTTGTGGAAGCTAATATGCATTGATGTTCCAGACTCACAGGTGATACGTGACAGAACCGTGAAACACAATATTAAAACATGAACTCACTCGAATATAAAGAATAATCCACTTGTGATGAGAATAAGGCCCAGGGTGAGGGGCAGGACCCCACTCTGACGGGCCACTATGATCCGTCCATCGCAGTAGAAACGATTCTTTCCCGGGAAAACCTGCCACTTTCTCCTCGGTCTTCTCTTCGGCTCCTCTGTCTTGTCACTGTCGTGTCCGAGATGAGGGGTCGGGGTCGGGGTCGGCGTCGGAAGTGCCCGAGGGTCGATTTGTTGATACTCGCAGTTTTTCATGGTTTACACTGAAGTTTTGCGGCTCTGTCCCAATTCGGAGAACCGGGGCATTTGTCCAACGGTCGACAACATCACCGACGCCTGTGCATGAAGCAGCTGAATGGAGCAACATCAGTACACCCAAAATACAGTCACCGTGGCTAGCTCGTTAGCTTGCTCGTCTTGCACATAATAGCAAAACCCTTTTGGGTAATCTCCAGAGGTCCTGCATGCATGAATCAAGAGGAGCACTAGAACTTCCCTAATATTTTATATTCTCCTACAAAAGAGTCCCGAAACATTACTGAAAAGTATTGGTTTTAGCTACGCTGTCATGAAACGAGTCGTCCGGTCAAACCAGCTGTTGTCAAACTTAACAACAAAGAAAAGGTTTTATTTCCGGTTGATATTCTTTCAAAATAAACTGCCTACATATTTCTGAGATGTAGGCAGATATAATGAAACCTGGGTATATAAGTCATTGTATGTCTTCATTACAAGACATCATTAAATAATTTCAGACAATTTATAGCCAATTTCTTATTAATATTTACGCATTACATTAATGACATTCATAGAGTAGCCACATAAAGCATCAAATACTTCTTGCACTTAAATTATGATATTTCTCTCTCCATAAATATCCGTCCAAAGTAATATCCGGTAAATCAACGGCCACTGTGGGTGACTTGACGTAGTCGCAAAGCTATGGAGCTATCAACAAGGTAACAGGGGTGTTATGGCGAGTTCTGCCTGCATGCCAAGATTACTGTGGTCAAACCGGCCTCCACTTCAAAAAACACAGTCAAGCCAGCCCGCACGTTGTTTTGCGGTACGCATATGTACAAGGCATTACGGTAGTAGCGTGTAAGAACTGACTTCAAAATAAGAGCAAAGTTCTGGTGAACGTGATAAGACAAAGTCACATTCATTCAATAAGTCTGTAAATCATAGATTAATTAATTAATACATTACAAACATAAATAATACATACATACATACATCAATAAAACTAAATTAATGAATGAAAAAGTATACATTTTATAAATGAAAACTTTAAAACAATATTAATTACTGCATGCAAACTGTTTTTCAAGGAAAAATGTAATTCCAATTGTGTTTATTCAAATATATCAATAAAGACTACATTTAGAAAGAACAGTATGACTTATAATGACTACACTATATCAAATTCAGAAACTTCAAGGTTACACTAAGTGACCAATTTACCTCAAATTTTAGATTCAAATTAAAAGGAAATTGTCCACAGTTCAAAACTAATTTCATATCAGATTAATAGTAAAACACCTCAGTGTCAATTATGGATAATCAGAACATTTTGATGAAGTATTTCAAAATGAAAGCCCTTCAAAATATCATGCATGTGCCAACTTCCTTATAATTTCAGATTAACTTTTAAAATAAATGGTCTATTGTTACATAATAGTTTCGCCTTAGATTAATAGTACACTACCTCAAGGTGCCGCTCAGACGGGAACCAGCACATTATGATGTAGCGTTTCAAAATGAAAGCCCTTCAAAATCTCATTCATGAGACAATTTGTCTAATTTAAGATGAGATTTTAAATATAAAATATATATATTAAATAATAATAAAAATGCACAATATATACAATGAAATAGAATAATTAAAGTTCACTATCTAAACAATAGTGCAAAGATTTAACCAAACAAAACAAACAAACAACAGTAACGGTGTTATAGTAAAGTAAAGTGACAAGACATCATTAAATAATTTCAGCCAATTTAGTGTTTAGAGTGAGTTTTTTTATTTTTTGAGGGGGGGTAGTGAAATCGTGAAATGTAAATGATTGTGTCAAATTTTCGTAATTATACGTTAAAATAAATGTTTTATCATAAGCTGTGATCATTGTTATAAATGAGTCATGAAAACCTTCATAATATAGTAGTATGTCATAAAAACTGTCATGGTTTAGTAGACTACTTTCAATGTCAGTGTACCTGTTGTTTTTGGCAGGCAGTCAGAATATTGAGTAACACCGGAAACCATGTCAAAATAAAAGTTTCTAAATGTTGACTTTTAGTTTTTGAGCGTGTGTGTGCGTGAGCAAATGTAAAAAAATATATAATGTCGCCTTCTCTGCTAATTTCTACGTGATTAAAATACTTTGATACCGTGTTGCCTTTGTGTATACGTAAAATACATTATGAAATCACAGTGGCAATTTTACTTGCGTTTTATTTCTGAAGTCATAACCGGAAGTCCAACCTCCTGTTCGAGCTACCTGGTGCTTTTCCTCCACCTTGACGCTCAGGTACGGGGAGCAGGTAGAAAACTCGCCTGAAAGTGACATATTTTGAGCAGAGTCGATATACAGGACGTTCAAAAACGAATTTAACACAGAAATGTTTAATGTGAGGTGGCGAAGACAACAAGTAATTCGGAAGTCAGTTGTGCGGACGCACCGTGTAAACTGTGAGTACAGGCTCATGTTTAGTGAGTAAGTCCTCTAATGGAGGAAAGAGTCCAGATGACAAGTCGCCATGGAAGTGAAAACAATGTATAATGTTACATGAAAGTGGCTAAACGTGTGTTCAATCTGTAACGTGTAATTAATGGTAAATGAGTGTAAAACTAACGTGGGAAAAAGCCGCTACATATTATTTTCATTTTAGTTGTTTGTTTATTAGCTTTCGGCTAATAACTACATGGTATCGCTGCTGTAAACATTCGTTCAACAGATGCATGGTTACTCTAATAAGTGTTTTAACATAGGTTTGCTGCAATCGTGGCTGTCTTCAAGCAAGCAAAGGTGGCATTAGCTTCCAACATTTTCAAATTGAATTTGGTGTAATTGTGTTGATTCAGTGTCACTGTGTAAACACGGGAGATGGGTTTGCACTAAGCAGTGGATATATGGAGTGATTCTGAACCTTTTTCACATAATATTTTATATTTTGTCTTCATTTAACAGTTGCAATGTAACAGCTTAGTTTCATTTTTAGAAATCCCCCTGACATCATGCAGTGACTAGGTAGTTTACTGTGACTGCGTGCTCACACATCACCCAGAGAACCAGTTGGGTCACTTTATTTGACACTTGGGGATAGTAGTTTCACGTTTGTTTTAAAGAGAGATGCCCTAACTTGTTTGATGATGCAATCCCCCCCCCCAAGCTGTCACAGCATGAAGTTACACCTATATTGACCTCATTTTCTCTCATGCTCGTACAGATTCTGGGGGCAGTAAGTCATGTCCGTTGGCAGTTTGAGGCACAGCTCGGGGCCCGGCAGCTACAGGCATGGAACCAGCCGGAGCAGCAGCCAGAGGTCGTCCTACGAGGAGCGCTGTGTCGACCCAGTGGAAGACAGGCTTCCCAACCCGGAGCCAAAGTTAGCCCACAAAGCTCACCTGAAGGATGCTAACAGAAAGGAGTCTGAGACCATTGGCTTCATTCCTGGCTCAGCTGACCCGTCCTCTGCGACACAAACGTGCAATCCTTGCTCTCCTCAGAGGAGCTGTAGGAGCTTTGTGTGCAGCGTGCTCACCTGCGGATTGTACCGGGTCTGCCAGCGTTCCGTCTTCGCTCCGTGCCTGGCGCCGAACGAGAGCTCCCCAGACGAACCGGAGAAGGTGAGCCTCCGATCTGTGAACCCGGAAGGCGACAAAGAGGAGGACGGCACAGACTGGCTAGGCGACGTCCGCATCGCTGGAGTCAAAGTCGACACTACGAGAGAGTACTTGGATGTTGTAACTAAATCTCCATCGTATGTGCCTCCGCCCGGTGGTCAAACACAGCCCAGCCACCCGTCTCTGCATGAGTCCATGAGGTTCGACGGCTGGGAAGATGGCGAGGAGGACGTGGACTCCCTGATTGCAAAGAAGCTGCTGGAGCTCTACTCTGAGTATCAGATCGAAGAGTTGGCCAGGTGCACCACGGACTCTGTGTTCCTGAAGAAGAGCAAGGCCATCAACCAGCTCATCAACTCGCTGGCCGAGGAGCACAATATGGGCGAGCAGGAGGCGGAGTGTCGGCTGGTGCGCGGCATCATTCGCATCAGCACTCGGAAGAGCAGCAAGAGGAGGCCACACGTCTCCCGGGTGGAGAGGACGCTGTCGGACAGCGGGAACGAGACGATGAGGGAGAGCGATTCCTTCTCCTTCAGCAACAACAGTGAGTTCTAGTTTTTCACGTCATACGTCCACAAATATCAGCTTCTAAAAACGCCATATATATGCTTTTCTGCCATCAAGTAACCATCCCTCTCTTTTACTCTTGTGTGCTCAAGATGATTACAAATCAAATCCAAACATCCAAATATCTGAACTGACTTCCTCTGACAAGTGTGCCAGAGAGATGTGGAGGACCAATGGAGGTGATTATTATGTTATTACTCACACAGTATACTGTTATATTCACATACAGTTTTTAATGAAAATTGGATGAATAGTGTGTCATTCACTTATTTTGTTTACAGTAGTTTGATTAGTGGCTTTGAATAATGGGCATGTTTTTGTTTTGCATAACTTGGCTGTTATAACAAGGGAAGTCCGTCACGCATGTATGCCAACAGTGGCTGCTCTCACAGTACTTATCCAGCAGCATGAGCCTGAGTTTGTTTTTTAATCAGAAGTAGCTCAACACCTGTTTGACTTCCTGATAGATTCTGTTCCGACTTTTAGCATCCACTTTCTGTTTCAGATGAGACGAGTCTGGATTTAAAGGGTGCTAATTATTTGGATGCATCCTGATCTCTAGATTGGATTTAGATTTAGATTTCTCATCTTTAATACATTCATTTCAGCTTTTTGTAAACTTTCTGACCTAAAATGAAGGTTTAAATCAGTGGTTCTCAAACTTTTTCTGTCATGAATTAAAATGCACTGCCCAAAGCTGTCAGAGGTTTGAGACACACGAAACACAATTCTCCCTTAAAGTTGAGAGAAAGATCGGCTTCTTCATACTGGACTCAGTCTAAAAAGCACCCGTAATTTTTAATCAAATAATCAACCCCCCCCCCCCCCCAGGTTGACTTGACCTCTGTGTCCTTATTGTTGGCCCTGCAGGTGTTTGACTTCTGGTGTCATTTTACAGTTGGCTTTTGTGCGATTACATCTGACTACTCAATCACATTTCCTACTACACAACAAGTTTTAATGTGCCGTTGTAGAAAATAGAAATATGGCCTATAAAAGTGATGTTTACTATTCATTTAAAAGTGTGTATGGTGCAGTTCAACTCTTTGATTTTGGAGATGTTCTCCCTTTAATCTGTTGAGGACAGTGAGTCAACACCAATTACCTCCACAGAAATGCCCGAAAAATGATTTTAGGTCTTGATCTTCTACCATGTAGACCGTTTTGAGATTTGTTAATGTTTGGGACGTCCGCCAATATCGAGTACAGAAAACAACCCAAACAACAAACCAATGGCAAACTAAAAACGTAAATCATTTTACTCGGGGAATTCACTGAACTCTCTTAACTGCACAAGCTTGTTGGTAACGGCTTGTTTTCAACTTGCTCGTGCGACATTTTATCAGAGTTGCAATGTGCTGTGAAAATAAAGAGGGAAGAGTTCGATGGGACGTTGGATACCAAAGCAAAGTGATTTTTGTTACACTGTTAGGTGCAATGTAAGACGATCACCTGGACCGCAGTCTGCAGAAAGATGGGACTTCATTTCATTGGTATTAAGATTCTTAAAGATGCCTCGTGGAGTTTTCTTGCAAACAAACAAGGTTTCTGTTTGTCTTCTGTGTTAATCATTTAATTGCACGTTGTGTATTGTTGAAGTCTAACAATGTGACGAATGCATGCACTTCCTCATAAAACATTTGCATTTCAAAATATTGATCGGGTCTGCTTATTAGAACATAGTCACTATAACAGATAATATAAGTTACATCTTCCCTTTACGTGAGCTGCTAAACACTCCTAATATTATATTCACATTAAACCCCCAACTCAGCATCCTCGCCCTCAATGGACGAACGCCAACCTTTTGGCCGTCTTTGCAGATTAAGACAAATAAATCCAAATCATTATAATGAAATATGATCGTGTCTTTTTTTAATTTTTTATAGGTCATACTTCCAGATCTCCATCAGCCTACTCGCCTTCTCACACAGGGACTAATTCTTCCGGTGTGCCACTCATTCGCACCTCTGTGAGAACATGATTCCTGCTCAACAATGAGCCGTCTATGCTTGAATTATTCTGTCCCGCTGTGTCCACAGGTTCTCACGTGGGACGTTGAAAGGCGACGCTATACCTGCACGGGAGTCTCTGGCTGAGCCAAGCTCTCTTGTAGGGGCTTTGCTGTGGGGAGGAGAAAATGTGAATATTCACATTGTCTGAAGGAATTCAGTGAACTCAGGGCTGTCTGTGTGTAGGATGAATATCATGTGCATGTTTGAAGGATTGCTTGATTGAGAGCGTGTCCTGCAGCAGCTCTTTGTGGCTCTTGTTGTATCCCGTTTGTCCTTGAAGGAGACGCATTTTGGCTGTTCAGATTATTCTGCTGTTGTTAAGCAAAGGATTTAATTCTGTAAGTTATATATATATATATATTATTTTTTGCACATTTCATCATCTTGTAATTATCTTAATTTTAAACTAATTTGTGTGATTTTTTTTTTTTTTTTTTTTTTTTAAACTATTCAATGCTTTTAATCTAGTGGTTGTGTATCTCATATTTACAGTGATTCCAGATGAATGATCAGAAATTATGTTCTGGGAGTTTTCATAATTTGCCATATTTCATATTGATGTAAGAAGGTATTGTGTGGCAAACAGTGTGCATGAAGACAATGTTCAACATTATGGCTTAAATCTTCTCATTCTAATATTGGGTGGAGTTTTTGTAGTGTGCCTCGTTGTACAGTAGTAATAAGAATGGAAAAGGAACACTTTTTTGGGGGGAAATGAGCTTCTTTGCTAAGAGAGAGTTACAAGCTACAGCTTAGCTTGAAACAAGGGGAAACAGCTAGCCTGAAGGTAACAGAAATACAGCAGAAGTATAAAACCGTCAAGATGTGTTTTTTTCTTATGCAGCAGACTATTCCTTGGATACAATTTGACATTATTACAGTTTTGCGTTCTGTATATATTAGAGATTATACACAACACGTTAATGAATTGCCTTCAAAGGCGCTGACAGGAGTATTTTGTCATCTTTGGACTGAGCCGGGCTAGCTGTTTTCCACGGTTTCAGTCTTAATGCTAAGCTAAGCTAACCGGCTAGGCGGTGGCTTCATATTCACCGTAGAGATATGAAAGTGGTATCCTCTTGCCAAGAAAATAATATTAGTTTTTTCCCCAGAATATAGATTGTGAAAATGTTTCTTTCTGTTGTGAGGTTTATGACGTTCGTAGAGTGTGGAGCCTGTTTGTCTTTCTTCAACGCAGATTATTATTATTAGTGTAATAACATGAACTCGGTGTTAACTGCAGCTAGTCTAATATCATGTTGACCTATAATGACATCGTTCTGACTCAAGGGGCGCGTGTCTGCTTTTACTACCGCAGCCATGCCTGCTGTGTTTGCTCCTGGGTTCTGATGGGAATTTGGCCAGCTGACTCAGTGGAATGCTTCTTATCAGCATTAAGCTTATGGACTCCTTTTGTAATACCTTCAGTTATCACACATGGGCATTTTGTTTTCATTCGCACACTAGATTTTCTCAGAAGGTTTCCTCTCACCAAGGTGTTGCACTTTGTGTTTTCTGCCATTGATGTGTTGGCAGGTTCTTATATTGACACTAACTCGTCTTTTAACTGATTTCTTGTTGTAAAAACAATAAAGCAAATGAAGTGAAACAAAAAGAAGAAATTGTTTGCTCGTCATTTGCCACACATGGCCACACGAGGGAGTCAAAGTACTCATCTTTTTTTTAAGGTCAGGTCATGCTGCGTTTAAATCCCCCCTCCAGTAGGACACTGTCATGCAGTTCTCAAGCTTTATGAAAACTGAAGCAAATATTAAAATGTTTATTAATGAGCTTCTCGACCGAGGTTCACTATAAAATTCCATACAACAACACTTCAACTCGCACAAGGCTTTCTCACTGGGATCTCATTGCACAAACAACATCTCTGTTAATAAATGCAACATATTTGCGTTGCCAATTACTGGCTTGAAGAAGAGTTCTGTGACCAGGCTGTGGCTGACGCTCTGAATGGTGGAGGCTGCTCGAAGGACGTGACTGAAGCGAGCGGCGTCCTCTGGGTGCAGGAGGTGGATGACTTCTCGAAGAGCTCTCTGAGCTTCCTGTTGGAGGCCTTCGATGAACGACGAGGCGTTCAATCCTTGAACAGCTGTAGCGGATAAAGAGAATACTGTGTTTAAACACATATCCAACCAATTAAATTAGCATGGCAAAACTGATAAAAATGAGTTTTTACCTGAGTTGAACAGCAAAGCCCCTTTTAGATAAGCATACTCCTTTGGACTGAGATCCAGATTCCACAGCTTATGCAAGCAAGCTCTCAAGTTGTGGAGTCCAGCAGCAGTTGGTCGGTCAGCCTCGTTGCCCGCGAGTCCTGGTCCGAGCAGAATCTTTCTAAGGATACTCGTATTTGGTGCATCCGTCACCTCAAAGACTATCTTTTCTTGGGCCAGCCCCAGAACAAATAGAGGAACCCAGCAGTGTCTTAACAAAGATGACTGATCTCCTGATGGAAGCTGACTGAAGGATGGCAAACTTCTCACGAAGCAGATGGTTTTGACCAGCACGCTGGAGGCCACTTGGCAGGTGGCCTTTGGGTCCTTGAGGCAAACCGCCCGCCTCTGCTCACAGGGGCAGTTGTGTGCTGTGGCGTCACGGTTCAGTTTGTCATTGAGGTAGCGACTCTCGCTCCCGCTCAAGATGTTGTAAAGGATCGTGTGAGGAGGCTGATCCCGGTAACCAGAGCAAGAGTGGTTTGTAATCTCTTCCAGAGGAAACATTACGAAGGAAAAAAAGTATCCGCAGAATGACTCCAGTGAACTCCAGCTCAGGCCCTGACTGTATTTATCTAGGATGTGGCATAGTCAGCCTTGACCCTCCTTTTTAAGACCCTGCATTTGAGGGGGAAAATGGTTCTCTCACGTGGCGGCGATAAGGCTAACCTCTGCAGCTGAACAAGGGAAGGGAAATACAGAAGCCGGTGGGGTGAATGACATTTATCATGTTTACTTTAGTCATTAACTCAGCCTGTACCAGTCTACCAAGGTCTGATGGGGTCAACGCACAGGATGCCACCTGACATGTGTCCCAGTTACACCCTGGAACTGCATGACAGGTCACAATGTTTCTATCTTTGAGGATTACAACTGTGCTGCCAGTTTCAGAAATGGACTGATTTGTAGTTCATTTAATTAACTGGCATGAAATCTGCCTTTATGATGTTTACCTGACTGTTCTGACATAAGATTTTCTGTTATGAACATGTTGCATATGATATAGGCAACTAACTATGTGGAAACTCCTCATAAGCATGATTTAATTAAGGTGAAATCAGTTCGTTAAATTCCTCTATAGATCCTGTAATCTGAGCCGCAGACAGAGCTGTGAACTCTCGCCCAGTATGGATATCACTTTCTAATACTATGTGTGATCTAGTAACACTAATTGTCAGTGAAAATACTTTGTATGATTCATAACATAAGATGTTAATAATACTTGTAACATCTTAAAAGCAAACTGGCTTATTCTTTGACATAACCGTTAAATTGGTACAAACCATCCAGCTGCCTTTGTTGATAGCATCCATGATTATAATTTATGCTACAAGATATGAATATAATTTGGAAAGTAGCCTACTTGAAGCCTTTGAAGAAGCCCTATCAGGCCAAAACACCCAACATTGTCTGAGGCCTACAGGTGTTAATAATAACAATATAAATAATTTTCCTGGTATGGTAAGATAAACTGTCCGGTGTCAAAAGTTGAACAAATAAATTAATAAAACAAAAGCCTATTTGAAGCTATACATTCTGATAAAATACAATTTTAATTTCAGAGTTTTATTCCACTAATCAAGCCACCTTTAACCTTACAAAACGTAATTCTGATATAAAAGAGCAGAATCTTTTTTCTTTTTAAGCTGTTATTCTGAATATTGTTTTTCTGCTAATGTAATATTATTTTCTGCTACACTGGGGCCATGAACTCACGAGGGCAAAAGTAAATTAATACAGTTGCGTTTTAAAATTATAATGAAGTGGTTTAAAAGTATATTTACAATAAAATCGTATTCTTTATTTTCTAGAATATTCTCCCGGGCGCCTCAATCGCTCCCTGAACCAATACTCTCACTTTATTGGATATTCTGATTGTCATTCAAAAATCTAACCTTCCAATTGGTCAAATTCTGCGTGGGCGGGGTTTGTTTCCAGGAAGTGAGTTGTGTGTGACTACGGGCTCAACTCAACTTTTTGCTCGTCATTCGTACAGCTAACATTATTGTATTCAAACCGTTTCTCAATCTACAAACATGGGCGATGATGAAGAAAAGTATGACGGCATGTTGCTTGTTATGGCGCAACAACACGAAGGAGGGATACAAGAGGTAACGTAGTGTTAGCGCTCACATGTTAAAGCTACCGTGCTAATGCTAAAGCTAGTTAGCCTGTAGGCTAGTTGGCACACCTCGCATGTAACGTTAAGCAGTGGCGTTCAGAAAAGCAGATGTTTTCAGCTGTATACAGGGTTTATCTAATGGTTTCATAATTATTAATAGCACATACTGTAAGTAACTATATGTCTTTAATCAATGGGGTGTTACGTTTAATTTGGCGTGCACGTGACTAACAAAGCAGCACGAGATTTCAGTCAAATTATATTTTTTGGTTTTTATATAACTGTTTTTCTACAGGATTTATTTTTCAGCGTCCTTTTCTACACTTACTTTTTTTTATATGTAGCACTGTGATGCTGGGCCCTGTAATTAATAATATATAATAATATAAATTAATTATTTTTTTATTTTTTATTTATGAATAATAATGTAATTAATTCACAATAATAAATGGAATATTTGAAATAATAACATGAAGTTATGGAGGATGGGAAGAATAATTAAATGTTGATAAAACAGCCATGAAGCTGATAAATATAGAGGGGCTGTCATATAATCCAGTCATGCCAACAATCCTCAAGCACATAATTCATAATAATCAGTTATATTTGATATATCTGTGACGGCCTATTTTTCTCTCAACAGTTAGTAAACACATTTTTCAGCTTCCTCCGCCGCAAAACAGATTTCTTCACCGGTGGTGAAACAGGTGCTGCAGAGATGGTGAGCGATGTTTCTGTATCTGAAGCTAATGTGACATTTGATACTACGTGCATGCTCTGTGTCATGACCGAGACATATCTCCATATACTAATTTCTGATCATCTCTCTTCTACAGCTGGTCAAAGATGCTCTCGCCCACCACAGTCAGCTGGCGGTGAAGTCCCACAAAGAGAAGCAGATGAAACAGGAGAAGGAAAAGAAAGAGAAAGTTGAGAGAGCCGCCAAGCTAGCGGAGGAAAAGAAGAAGAAGACGAACGAAGAAGGTCCCAGAATTCAGGAACTGACCGACGAAGAAGCGGAGAAACTTCAGACTGAATTAGACCAGGTGAAATCTGGGAGCCTTGAGAATCACTGTCGTTCCTTTACAAAGATTATTAATGTATTCGTGTTTTTTTTTAATATAT